AACAAAAAACACAGCCAAAAAAAAAAAAAAAAAAAAAAAGAGATACAAATCCAAATGGCTGCCTGCCCCGGCGAGGGGAGAAAGCCAACGGGGCAATCCGGCTCCCCGGCCGCACGCATCCCCGCCCGACGCCAAGCGCAACGCCCCGCCAGCGATGCTGGGGTAGGTGGGACAGCCGCGACAGCGACAGGAAACCAGCAGCAGTTCGGGTCGGGTAAATACGTATTTTAAAGGCTGGAAGTCGGAAACCTGACTCCCACCAGGCTCGATGGGATTCGAAAGCAAATATTGAAGTGTTTTGCTGAGTTGGGGCCGTTCGGTGATGCTAAGGGGAAGCCCTTCCCGGTCCTCCCAGCTGCCTTTACTGGTGGAATCATTAAATAAAAAAATAAAATTGCTCAGCCTAGTTTCGACAGACATGGCGAGGGCCACAACATCGGTTTTCACGGAGCTAAGCAGACTTATGAAGCCTAAAATGAGAAGGAACACCGGGTTTTGCCTTAAAAATTCTCATAGTTTTCCTGATCAAAATGCTTTGGGTTTCCCCCCCCAAAATGCCTCCAAAAACGACGCGAACGAACCGACCGGAGGCACGCGCAGGCTCGAGCTACCAGTGCGACGTGGACACGAGCAAAGACCGCAGCCACGCGGGGAGAGAAACCTTCCGACTCCCGCCCCGAGAACCGCTCCTGCCTTGCTTGCAGCAACCCAACAGCGTTTCTTTTTTAAAGCTATTACTGTTACCGATCCCCTCCCTTAAAGGCTACAAGGGATTTGCACTTTCTAGGGCGTCAAAGGACACGGGAAGCTGCCTCAACGCCTCACCCCAGCCACGCTGCGACAGTTCGGGCAATTTTAGGGCTGATCTGGGAAATGCAGGAAGCTCTTTGGTCCCCAGATCGCCTACAACCTTCCCCGAAGCCCGAGGAACCGGCTTCCTTCCCTCCCAGCTCCAGCTTTTACCGTACAAAGGGAGATATTCTTCAGGTTTAAAAAAAAAAAAGAAAAAGTTGGAAAAAGGTTTTTTTTAAAAAAGAGCAAACCCAGCAGATGTACAATATACAGAAGGAGGAATTTACACGCAGCTCTGGAGGTGTCTTCTGGGGTCACAGGAGGTACCTCCAAGGTCCCTGGTTGCAGCAGTGAGGGACTCCGGTGCTCCCCCGGGCAGGAGCAGGGGAGGGACGCGGCACCGTGGTGCTGCGCTCAGTCCAGGAAGCGCTGGCAGGCTTTTTTCCACCGGCAGGCCGTGCACCACTGGTCCCGGTGCTCGATGCCGTACACCTTACGGCACTTTTTGGCTTCACCGCGGACTTTCCTGCAAAAGGGGAAGAGAAAAAAAAAAACCCCAAAACATTTATCCACTTGTTGCAGAACTTTAGTCACGGATCTAAGGGTAAGACCCCGTAACCACGGCCGAGCATCGTTCCGCTGCATCTCAGCGGAGATGCAGGGGGGCACCCCTTTCGCAGACGGGCTTCCACCTCTGCTCCCCTCCGGCCGGCGGGACCCTCACCTGGTGCCGATGGACACCCTGGGCGGCGAGGCGACGATCAGGTGGGACTTGAGCATTGGCGTCGGTGGCTGGGGCTCGCTGAAGCTGAGCGACCGGCTCCGCACCTGCGGGGAATCGGGTGTCAAAGGGCACGCGGGATGACGCAGTCCCCCTCCCGTGCGGCCCCTGGCCACGGCGATGGGGCCGGGGGGAGACACGGGTGCCCGCACAGCCCACAAATCCGGATGTTTCAAGTGGGGAGTGAGAAAGCAGAGACAAGGTCCCCATAGCTCCCAGCCCAACCCTGCACCCCAAAAGGATGAAGGGGAAGCGCAGGCAGGACTCACCGGTGACAGGGACGGGAGAGTCGAGGTGGCAGTGGCCCAGCTGATGCTGGTGAAGATGTGGGGGGACACTGGAATTTGGATCGAGGGCAACGCCTGTGGGGGAAAAGAGGAGTCAGCATTAGCCCCGGGGGCCCCCCCCATTCCCACACGCCGCCCCACGGAGATTCACCTCCCTGGGAAGACCAGCCTGGAGCACCCACAAACTGGGAGCACTGGGGGTGGGACGGAAATGCCCATGCAACCTCTCCTCCAGCGCCAGATCCTGCTAACACGGGGCATGGCACACGCGCTGTGTCACCCTTCGCCGGCGGGGCACAGCAGCTTCTTCACTCCCGCAACTGCTTTCGGTTGCAATACCGAACCACATGCACCATCCTGGTCTATACGTATGTATTTTTGCACCTATTTATGTAGGCTTTCTGCTTTTAGATGATGTCACAGCCGTTCCCTGGGACAGGAACGGATATACATGCAGCTTATGGATTTATATAGCCTGTCCCTGTGCTAGCTTGCAGCGCCCAAACAGCGCTCGGCTCTCAAGCAGGGACAAGGACCGCCCAGCCGGGCTGCCCCTGCGACCACCGCACCTGGTCCCCAGGTTTCCTGTGCCTCAAAAGCCCGTGCCCCGGCGAGCGTGCAGCAGAGACGTGCAGGATCTGGCGCGGCTGCATTCCAGCCCCACGTTATCTGCCGGCAGAAGGGTGTGTTGCATACCAGCACGGGGTAATTGCAGGGGAGCAGAGGCCGGCAGCTCCCCCCCAGCCCGGGAACGGCCCGGGCAGAAGCGCACGAGCCCCTTAACCAGGCATTAACGAAGCTGGTTGCTCAAGGGCTGAAGGGCAGCCAGGCAGGGGATGGTGCTACACCGGCACCAAAGCCTCTACTTGCAGAGCAAACCGGATCACGACCTGCCCTTTGGGAAGATTTCGGGAGGTGACACGTCCCCGGGAGATGCCACCAGCTCACCTGGTAGGCATGATCAGCCTGGATGTGCCAGAAGGAGCTGGGGGCAGACTGGCTCAGGGCGCTGCTGGCCAGGGCGGGCTCCAGTGTGGGCTGCTCCACCAGCAGTGCCTCCGGCTTCGCCAGGGCTTGCTGGATGATGATGGGGGTGGACGCGGACGTAGGGCTGGCAGCGGTGGTCGCCTCCGGCGCCGGCTCTTCCTTCACCTGCACTTCGGTGTAGTAGAAATCCTCCTCCCGCTTCCGCTGGTCGGAGTCTGCGCTGTCCCTGCCGGGGAGGAAACAGGGACAGCGGTGACAAGGCCGCCCTGTTTCCATCAAGGTGAGCAGCCCCCGACTTCCCCGGAGGAGAGTGATCTCGCCCTCCCGGGCAGAGCAGCTCCACTCCCAGGCTCCAAAGCATCATAACGGCTGTGATCAGCAACAGCCACTGCCCCTGCAGCAGCACTTTGCACTTCCAAGGAAGATCAATACCTCTTCTAGGGCCTTTAAAAACGCTGGCGCATTGACCTAGCGCCACTGAAAATCCCCTGCTCATTTCTAATCGAGTTCATTTAGCACAGCTGCAACCAAAGCCCTGCGGTTCACCCAGCAGGAAACAGCCTCTGAAGTCTTTTTTATGATTTTCCCGATGCGTTTATCCGGCACTGGATGGCAGTCCAGCGCTGCCCACTGCACCACGGCCCTTCTGTCCTCGCCTTTCCCAGAGCATTCACATTTGCAAGGGAGGAGGAGAAAAATACATACCAGGAAACACGGACAAAAGCACGAGAAAACTGAGGCTGGGGCGAGAAGTGCAATGGGGCCACAGGAGGAGAGCATAGCAAAGCCGATCCCCACACCCTCACCGCTTTGTATTTTGGGGGAAATTCACAGGAGATCAGGGCAAAGCAAAGTAGACTGCCAAAGGGCCAGCCGCTGCCAGGCTGGCATGTGGGTGCCCGTGCCAGCCCCGACAGCCGAGCTGGAGCCAGCCGCCGCCGCAGCAGGCACGGCTTTCAGGCTGCCAGCCCTTGTGAAACCCAGCTGGGCTGATGCTTTTCCGTGTCTGCCCAGGAGCCCAGGGCTCGCGTGTAACCTGAACTCCCCCCGGTGCAAAACGCACACCTGAGCTGGGCAGAGCTGGGCAGTCCCAAAGCCCAAATGGGGCTCCCGTGCCTCCCGGAAAGCCCTGGGCTCCCTGAAGGTGGGGACACATACAACAGTGGCTTCAGTGACATGGCCTGCTTGGCTGAGAACTGCCAAACTCAGTGCACAGAGGCCAGTATCTCTGATACCGGGGATATTTGCTGCAGGAATCAGGAATTACGCAGCAGCAGGGCGCACGGCTTCAGTGGTCAGGCAGGGATCAAGGAGGTGAAGTCTTTGCCTTACCCGAGGTGCTGGGTCTTGACGTGCCGCTTGATGCCGACGATGGAGCGCAGGACCTTGCCGCAGCTCGGCCACAGGCACTTGTACATCACCTTCACCGAGTTCTGGTGGAGAGACGGCCCGTGTCACCCCCTGCGCGGTGGCAGCGTCCCCTCCACAGGACGCCGGCTCCGCGCACGCCAACCCGCCGGTGCCGGGACCCACCCCCCATGGCAGCAGTACCTTTCTCTTGCGCGGAGCAGGTTCGTCAAGGAGAAAGGGGTCGGAGTC